TTGACCTATAAAATATCATAACGTTCTTTTAAAATCGTAATACTCATCTTGTAACGCTCCTCTTCGATCGCCTCGACTAGTGCCAAATCGAAAAACCGCCTCTATTATTCTTGAGGAACGTTACGCGCCATAACCATTTCCCTAGCGACAATCCGTCGCATTTGCCCCATCTCTGGACTCGACCATAAATAACCTGTCACACTAGCTAGCGAAAAATTTTATTGAATTTTAATTTGGCTGTTTTTGTGATATCGCTACGTTGTGCTACTTAGATGTTAGAAATAGCTGGACACTCTGGTATAGAACACTATAACTAATTTATTTACTTGTATGAAGACACGATACATTGTTAGTTTTATTGCCTATTCATTAAAGTATTCGAGTTATTCGTGTAGGAAGACACGATCACTCTTTATTGTTGAGTTATAGAACAAAAGTGTATTCAAGCTTATTTATACATTCTGAACATGATTTTTTCTATTAATACCTTTTTAGTACGATTTAGCGCTACCAAGCATTTCTAGTATTACTTAAAACTACTAATATTACAACGTACGACTCGTATGTGATATTAAAGGAAAAAAAGCCATAACGATAAAACTTTTCTCTATTGAACAGACTTCATAATAAATGATACCACGTGTTTTGAATAATATAATAATGCATAAATTTTCATACACATTCTCTGCCTACCCATTCCAGGAAGTAATTTATGTCCGTATTTGTTTGCTCCAGATCCAATTCCAAGAATTTCCTTGCAACTAACTCGCAGGTAGCGTACAAACGACGTTCACGATCGTCGACGAAAGGCGGTGGGATAGATTCGTATCGGGAAAAAAGATGGGATAAATGTGTTGCTTCATTCGAGAATCGGTTAATAATTAAACAATAAACTAATAATAAAAATCGATATAATAAATGCGTAAAATAAATAAAATTCACCTCTTTTAACAATATGAGGGGGGATACCAGCAAGTGTGGCACAAAATGTGCCCCAGGACGAAGTACTTCGACCAGGTATAAGACTGAGATCAAAATTTTTTGTGAATTATCAGAATAAAGTACAGCAATCCGATTCTTAATATCAAAGATCATTTACCGGTATAAAAAAGTCAATTCCTCGTCCTTGTCATCGTTCACGATTTCCATAGTAAATAATGAAATCGGGAGAGATTGAGGAAGGAGATTATTCTCAAAAATTTCTTGATTAATATTGAATCATATTAGTGACTGTGAATACTTAAATACCGCAAGTACACTCTGATGTTCTTGGGTAGTTGTAAATGCAGAGTTGTATTTTAAAAGATAAAAAACCATGAAAGTGTGTCGCTGCGACTACTTTTGGGCAATCTCTACCACGCTTTAATAGATGCTCCATGACACCACAAAATAAACCAGCACCGTCTATTTATTTTGAGGCATTAATCCAAGTAACTAATTTAATGTGTGCGGATTGTGCAGTACTACGTTGACCTACCTGTAGAACCAGTTCCTTTTCCAAATTCATCAAAGATTAATAAAGACCTTGAAGTCGAATTACGAAGTGCAACCGATATTTGTTGAAGATCAATCATGAATGCGCTTTGAACCTTTGAAAATATTTTTGTTATAAACTACTAGGAGGTTAGTTAGATTAAATAATTCGATATTTATTTTTTACCTTCGAGACTGTTTCTTTAGTCTGAATACGAGTAAAAATTTTATCAATTAGGCCGATAGTGGCCGATTCTGCTGGCACAAAACTTGTGAAATAAAACATTTTACATTTTGCAGTTCGTTTTTTCTTTTAAAAAAAGTCCTCATTAAAGAGAGACCAATCAATATCTACCTTCCAATATGTGCCATATAAGCAATCAGCGCGATTTGCTTCAAGTATACACTTTTACCTGAATAATTAGCACCACTTAGTAGCATGACACTGTTGTATGAGTCGTTTTCATCAGTACTGCCTTTGCACATTTCATCGCCTTCGCCCAATATACCTCTACCTCCAACAAGCTTCGTATCGTTAGCAACAAAAACATTAATGCAAAGTTCTTGCAACGGATGCCTTACATTTTAGGAAATCAGCCATTAATTTTAGAAAAACCGTCAATTTAGAAAAGTCGCCAATTTTAGAAAGTCGTCAATTTTAGAAAAGCTACCATTTCACATAATATTTTAACATATCCGTTCTTTACCTTCCTTTTTCAATCGTCAAAATATTTTCATCGGTTACAATAGGTCGATTATATCCATAACGTCTTGCAGATTCCGCCAAAGACAAAATACTTTCATTTTAAATAATATATTATCAAACATCAAAGTTCTTAAATACAAAATTGTTGAGCGTGTATAATCAACATTTGTTACCAATCAAGTTCAGCACAAACAGCACTAGAGTTTAGAAATAATGGAACATATTCTAATATACGGTCTTGGAGCTTCTGCATTATTTCAATTTCACGATCTGTAAATAAAGAATATCCACATGTTTAAGATTTTTTTTTTTTTTCTAAAAAAAATAATCTGTTCATTACCAACGATGAGTCCATGTATATCACCCAAATATTCATCAAGTTCTATTATGTTGCAAGTACAATGACTTTCACGTACAACACAGTAATGTAGCATTTAAAGTTAACATTATAATACCTCTCATCTTATCATTTTTATAATAAACGGTAGTGGCAGTACTGAACTAACCACGTATTTAAAAGAGTATCCAGAGAGATTTCGTATTAATAGTAAATTAGTAAGTACTCAAACTAATTAGATAAAACAACATACTTGATAATACAACCCGTCAATTTTAAAATCCTCTTCATCCCTCCATTCTGGTTTTAACGGGACAGTGACAAGGTATCCCAATTGGGGAAAATAAATTACGTTTAAAGTGGATGCAAATTCAGTGGGAATCGATGTGCTAATTTCACGTGCAACCTCGAACTAGTATGATCAATCGCGAAGAATATTTAGTGATATAGTGAGAGAACTTAATCCTAGGGATTGGACCCGGCTAGAATTTTTGTTATATAGCTATCCGGAATATATAATTTATCCAATAATTTAATGATGCTCGGGTGAAGATTTTCTCAACGGGACCAATCCCTACCTAGTTCATTGGTGTATTTTATTTACCAAAAAGTCGTCCAAACCGTCGTATGTTCTTTTCATGTGATCAAGTTCCTTTAGTCATGCGATTAACAATTGATAAATGTATTCATTATTTTATATATAAAATAGCAGCAGGTCATTTATTTTTAAATAAACCTCATCAACATGTGGTTTGACAACAATTCGACCTTCTTTAACGCTTTCGTCAAAATCGATCTTGGAAGATAAAAGTGATCAGTAGTTGCTAAGACTGTGAACATTATAAACCTTATAAAATGTTTATGGAAACATATATACATATAAAAGTCAAATTAAGGTTTATTTTCAATCCTCACCACGTCATTAATATAAGAACCGATATCCTTTAAATCAGATACTATAAATGTTTCTCCTATCTATTTACACGAAGTTCTATTAATGTCTGTACATTTAAAACTCAAATTCATAAATACAATATTCACAAACCCTAGTAAATATTTGAATATTCTCGGAATAATGCAATTCTTGCACAAGATTACAAATTTTAAGGCAGTAAAATGCATACTATAGAACGCATATTACGTTATAAAATATTGACAAAAATTACACATATTAGTAAATAATCGAACCTGAAGTAAAGATTGCCAATCTTTTACGTTCAATCTTCCGTTCATATTTTCAATAATTTTTGGAATATTTTTTATATGTCTTAGACATGTGGTAAACTGTCCCGAAATATCCAAATTATCTGGCTGAAGGAGGCATTCGATTGTACGATGTCGTTCATCAAGGACGGTAAGATCAAGGGTAGGTCTAAGGAACCATTGCTTAAGCAGATATTTACCAAGGACCGTACGCGTATTGTTAAGAATACCTATTATTATAACATATTAATAAACTCTAATATATATTTGTAATAATATGCAAGGTAACTCACCGAAAAGTGATAATCCCTCTTTTGCTCTTGCTTGCATATGCATATTTGGATGTGATTCATCTTCAAATATTTGGAGAGAACTTAGACAAAGAGATACTATAATTACTCAAAATGTTCTTACTACTCCACAAACCTTTTTAGCAGAATAAAATTTACCTTAACGTATCCACATTGATATGTAGAAATTTGTTTCTTTTAATATAAATACATATATATTATAAGTAAGTGTTTATCATCAGTGTTGACATTGAACTTATGTCTGAATCATTTGGAAAAGTACTTGCAGTATAAGTGACATCAATTATAATGTCACATATGCTGCAAGAGATTAACATTTAGATATAAGTCCAATTACAACACTGTTTATCATGATTTAACAGTTGATGAAAATTTATTTATTTTATACAAAGAAAATTGCTCTATGCCCAACACGCTCATTTGCTGATCTTCAGATAGGACACCAGTTATTTTAGCCCTCGAAATATAGCTAATCAAAGCCCCAGCACAGCACACCTATCAAATCAATGAAAAAATGAATTTTTTAACATTTAATGATCAGATAGTGAAAATACAACTATTAACCGTTTCAATGCTCTCCACGTTCACGATACTTGATAAATGTAAATATATCTCTTGTTTGCTAACTTCAGCACGTGACGACACGTGTCCTTTATCACCTAAACGAATGGAAAATAGTTTTGTTTTTGCAGATGCATAAATGAATTCAGAACCCGGACGTATCTCCACAATAGACGGAATAAGAATAGAGTCATCTATCATAGATTATACAAATGGCGCGTTAAAATTTTGTTAAAATATTAATCGATAAATATACACAATTTACCTTCTGCTTGCAAAGCTTGAATAAATGTATCGTCTGCACGAGAACTAACAAGAATTATAGAAGGTAAAACTTGAAATCGCACTAATTTTAAAGCAAACGAATAAGAACATATCTATATTAATTTCTTTTGATCAATAAACAAATTAACTCACATAAATTCACCATATCGTATGGTGGTGATTCAGCTACATCCTCCATAAGGTATAACTTGGAAGTGGTGAAGTTGTAATATGCGCATCCTAACTTACGATTTCTAAGATTGACCGCCATAATAACCTAACCATGTCGCATAAAAAAAACGCAATCTTAGATGGAGGACTAAATAGGAAAGGATCTACGCATCGTTCTACCTTATCTACACGTCCGTCTTGTGTGTCGGATATATCTTCACTATCACTATACATGGGTATCTAAATTATTTTTCTCTTGGCGTAATTCTAGACAGCCGAAATTATTTTTGACTGTCTGAAATAATTTAGTTTGTCGAAATTATTTTAGTATGCCGAAATTATTTTCGAATGACAAATATATTTTTGGATGACGAAAATATTTTTGTATGGCGAAATTGGCGAAAAATATTTTTTTACTTATTTTTTTTAATGATGATGAAATATCTAATTGACCCTACAAACATTTTTGCCCAATCAAATTTTAAGATCAGATTGATCTTGAAACTTTAACAATATTTGTGTGGTCAAATTTTTACTTGAGTGTTGCCAAATGAAAACCCGAAAATCTTCATAATTGATTAATTTTAGGGTACACACTCATAATCAACTATACCGGGTGTGCAAAAAGTCGCTAAACAGTCTCTGGTTTTTATCACTACTCAATTTTGTTGGTTTGTTTTAGAGGCCTGCACGGACCGAGCCGAAATTTGAAAAGTTTAAAATCGCGGACCAGGTGTGTCAAGAACATAGTAAATTGCGGGCCGAACTTTTAAAAAACATAGTAAATTTATTTTTGCCGTGCGGGCCGGCAAAAGTACAAATTTTTAGGCCCGTTCAGGGCTCTATTTTGGTTTTTAACATTTTTAACGTACGTACTTCTTATAAGTTCGGTATAAAGGTTTTACTTCAGCGACGGATATGTTATTCGATTGATAGAGATGCCGATTTATGTTTAAGTAAAATGTGAAGGTTATTTCAGTTACGCTTTAAGAGGATGATGTGATTTGCAATTACGAAAGAGTCAAACGGCTAGATGTATATGAAGATACAAGTAGTCATATAACAAGTTTACAATTTACAAGTCACTCTCGTTATAGTGAAATCATGGGGCTATAAAAATTTCTTCATTATATTAAGAGATTTACTATATAAAACGCTCTTGTTATAGTGAAGTTATTATGTTAATAATATAAATCTTCACTATAACAAGAGAAATTTAAAATACAGTACTTAAATCAGATATAACTGATTTCACAAATGCATTTTTTATAAAATCATTTTAAATACATTTTTCTCTTTATAAATACATATGATTTAATTTAAAATATAAATATTACAATCAAATAATAAAATTAGAGTGTTGCTATTTTCATCCTTTATTTTTTGTTAATGTCATTCTCAAAATACATAAAAGTGCTCCAGAAGAGATATTATTATTAAGTAAACCTCTTTTTTGGTATTAATTAAAGTTGTTC